TTTTTTTTTTTTTTTGTGGTACCAGGGATCGAACTTAGGACCTTGCATTAGCAAGGCAGGCACTATGCCACTGAGCTAAATCCCTGGCCCTTTACCTTTGAGATATGAAAAATAAAGTGCTATACATTTACTAAGCAACTATTTAAAATTAACTGAATTCATTTCATTATGTTTATACATATTGTTATTTATGGGCAAAAATTATTCAGTATATAGTCAAAGTTTTTTTCTCACAAATGATCACATTGTGTTTCCAATGAAGAAATTGACCTTGTATTTTTGATGAGTCACTTTAATTTCAGGATCAATATTCTGAAGAAGAATGATTTTTTTACCATAATTTAGAGAATAACTTTGATTTCTTTTTTATTTCAATTATGTAAGACCTAGCTAAGATTAAAGTGTGTGTTGTTAAAATAATGAAATGATTTTCTTTTTTTTTTTTTGTCTAGTGCTCCGTGATTCTTCCTTCAGTATGAAATAGTCTTTGTGTTCATAAAATATTCATGTCTATATTAAAATTAATGTACATTGGGAGAATCATTCATTGATTTCTGTAAAATGCAAATTTAATTAATCCCTAGACAGAGAGGGCTGTCCTAGGCTTGGGCCATTTATGGTGACAACGTAGCAAAATAATAAAGAGAAAAAATATTTGAAGTTTCTATTCCGTTGATTTCACTTACAGAATGGCAACTGGTTCTAGTGCTTACCTGTTTACACAAATACTAATTTCAAGCTTTCCAAACAGACCTTACTTGATTCAGAAAAGTTAGAAATAGAACATGAGCAAGTCAACCAGTATGAAATGCAGTCTGTGTGCCTGATACAACTGACTTGTGAGGCTCTGGATGTAAAGCTTGTTAAGAACTGTAGATTTCTCCTGCAATTAGGACTCCCAGTCTGCTGCTACGACTGGCATCAATTGCATGCCCTGGTTTCCCAAATCCTTCTGGTGATGGATTCCCCAAGTCCAGCTATTGGGGAGCTGGAGTTGAAGTTGTGACTTGCTTCATACATTTTTCTGAGTTGCTTTTCTAATTCTCCATGCTGTTTAGTCTTCCTTTTACTTGTTTGTTGGTTCCCAGAATTGCTCTTTGTATCCTCTTTCTGGATTATAGACTCACTGTTATTCCCCTGACTCTTCTCACTTGCAGAGTTGCACAAAGCCTATTTCCATGTTTTGTTTACCTATTCATCAGTGAATGGATGACACAGCTTGTATCTAAATGTCCCCTCAAAGCCTCATGCAGTCATAGGTGGGGCTTTTTGGAGGTGGCTGGATCTAGGGTGTGTGCTGCTAGGAACAAGGATGGGATGTTGAAATTGATTCATGATTCTATGTTGAAATTAAGACTGCCCCACCCTGGGCATGAGTGCCAGGGTCAGTATCCTGGATAAGATATAAGGGACAGGAAGAGTTGCTGTTTGTCATGGGTTGCTTGCTGCTTGCTGCTTGCTGCCTTCTGCCCTCCATGGACTGTTTCTCCCCTGCCATGCCCCTCTGCCTTGGAGCCAGCCGACTATGGACTGAAAGCTCTGCAAGCTATAAGCCAAATAAACCATCTCTTCTCTAACTTGGGTGCCAGGTATTTTGTCTCAGCAAACAGGAAAGTAACTAAGGCAATGGACATTTGGGTCAATTCCACATTTATGACTATTATAAATATAGTTGTATGACTCTTAATGATGAGAACACATTCTGAGAAATATATGTGAGGTAATTTGGGCAATTTTGTCTCTGTGGAAACATCAGAAAGTACTTATATAAACTAAGTTAGCTGGCTGGGGCTGGTATTTTTGATCTCTAGTTTTCAAGGCTGATTATTTTCCAGCTAGGTTTTATTTTTAGGAAACATGGAATGTTCTTGAATAGTTGTTTCTTCACTTTCTGTATACCCCTACAATTCCAGAAAGGCAAATAAAAAATAAAAACTCCAACTTGAATGTTCTAGGCAATATGACAGACTGATTGTTTCATCAAAATCTGTTTATGTGATCCATGACCAGTTTCTCTTTGTATATCTATTACAGATTATTTTAGCAACTGTAATGAACATCTTAAGTGTCCTCATAGCTGTAATTGGTTTACTGATATTAGGCATTGAATTTGCAATTTTTGAAGGTAAAGGAGAGGAATACTCTTGGTCAAATGTAAGTACCAATTTTAATAATAACTTAATCAAAATTTTAGATATAAATGAAAAACCTGTTGTGAATGATGTATGTTGAAGTGAGTTAGGTATAGAAAAAGGCTACTGAATTTGTCAGCCAGTTTTGGCATAGGAATATAAAAGTAAACAACTGCATTTCCTCCAAATTTTTATCATGCCCATACTAAAAAATTAGTTTCCCTCCACAATTTGGAAACACCAGAAACCTCAAAGAGAGATAAAATGTACCATTATCTAAAGATAAAATGACAGGATATCTAGAAAAACCCCTCCAAAAAAGTATGAAAGAAAATAAAACATTTTAGTAAGGTAGCTGGATAAAACAAAAACCTACAAAAATTATAAACTCTTTTGATGCTACACATAATGACTCAGATATTGAAATGGGAAAAAATAAGAACTAACCAAATTGAAATAACAGTAAAACTATAAAAGCATAAGGACCTAACAAAGAACCAAATAGCTTTTAAAAACATATCCTTAAATGCAATGCACAATGTCATAAAATTGCAAGCTTCTACAAATTAATACATAATTGTGATCCAATTATATTTGGAATCTCAACAATGTTTTGGTAGAAATGCAACAAAATTATTCTAAAAGACATACAACTAAAAGAATAACTGTGTGAGGGCCAGGGATGTAGCTCAGTGGCTTCCTCCCTCTCTGCTGAAAAAAGCTTTAAAGTTTTTAAAAGTTTAAAGTTTTTTTTTTTTAGGGAAAGAAGGTCTTGACCTGGAAGGGCAAGCATAAGTTCCTGAGTTCGATCCCTGGTACCGCAAAAACAAATTTAAAAAAAGAATAACTGTGGAAATTGTCCAAAACAAAAGCTTAGGAGTCACATAATGTTTGAGGAAGGCCAGAGCACTTGTTATGCCAGATATTAAAACTTACCAGGTTATTGTGATAAAAATAAACAAAAGTACATTGTGTTATGTACTAAAGGAAAAATTAATCAGAGAACAGAATAGAGAGATGAGAAATAAACCCAAGTATAGATAGAAACATGTTATATTATGGGAGGTGATAATACCATGCATTAGGAGAAAGATGGAATGGAAATAAATGGCATTAAATCAATGACCTATCCATTCCAAAGGAAATAAAAATAGGCACATACTTTGAACTATATATAAATCACAGATTAAATGTGTAAGCATAAAAACCAGTATAAAGAATGAATTGTTAGATTTATTACACAAGCAAGAAAGAAAACAAGAAGGAAGGAGGAAAAGAGCCACATCTCTGTCCCAAACATTTTCCCTTTTGATACAGTACAGGGCGCACCAACAGAAGCCGCAAGGGGGAGACAGCTGCCCCTTGGCCTGGGAGGTGGGGATGCTTCCGTGAGCCAAAGAACCAGCCAGCAGGGCCCAAGGACGGGGCCGCAGAGGGCTCCCCTGAGGCCATGAAATCTAACAAACTCTACCCTGATCCTGTTAGTTCCTTTCCCGCTTTTGTGTTGCATCCCATGCCTTCCGACAATTGTAGCAAATTTCCAATGTTTTCTAGTTTCGCAAGCTCAAAGTGGTAAGAAAATCTTCCCCGGGGATGAACCAACCTCTGATTCTCTCCCCTAAATGATTTCAATAACAGTCTGAGATTTTTCAATCCGATATTATTTAGCGTAGATGTTGGAGTTAGGCTTGGTACCTGAGTAGGTTAGCACTTGGGGAGATGTTAAGATCCAGTGGATAAGTTTTGCACACAGGGAGGGCATGAATTTGGGGGCACTAGATGCAAACAGTTTGTGTTCCAAAAAAATTTTTTGGAATCTCAACCCACAGTACTTTAGAATGTATCTTTTTAGGAATGGAGTCACTTAAGATGTTATTAGTTAAGTTAAAATGTGGTCCTATTGGAGTAGGGTAGACTATCAACCCAATATGACTGATACCCTAATAGGAAAAGGGAAATTCAAACCTGAGGGAGGGAAATAGTTCATAGGGAAGATGACCACATGAACACAGAGGCAGAGACAGGAACTGTGTCCCATAAGCCAAGGGAAACCTGGGCTTCCAGAATCTAAGGAACCAGGCAGGACTCTTCTCCAGCAGCTTCGGAAGGCTTAGGTTCTGCCAGTCTCTTGATTGGGGATTTCAGCATCCGAAACCGTGAACAGTGCATTTCTGCTGTGTCAAGCCACCCAGCTTACTCCATCACAGCAGCCCTAGGAGATGAATACAGGAGGCCAATAAATGGTCATCTGCCTCTCTTGTGTTGAAATCCTAAGTGAGATGAGACACAAGATCAACCAAAAGTAGAAAAAGCTATCAGCTGTATTATTGATTATCGTAGTTGGAGAACAAGTTTCAAATGTTTAGTCAAATGAGCTTACTAGTACTGCCCTTCCTGAATTAAACCTGTCCACCTAGTTGGGCCGGAGTTGAACTTCTCCACCTAGAAGGACTGCAGGCCACAGTCTCCCTCTGGGGTCAGACAACTATCAGACATTGAAGGGAAGAAGTTGGCGTTACAGATAGAGCCCACTCTAGGGGACAGGGAAGACGACCAGAAAGAGCTGTGTTCCTTCTCTCAAAATTACCTATTGCCTGAGCTCTTGCTCTTCACATGGGGAATTGCAGGTGGAGAGCATTGAGAAATACTGCAAAATGTTTTCACCTATTTCTAAGAGAGAAGAAACTCTCACTTTAGGTCGTGCTGAGAATGTGAGGAGAGCATTGTTCCACCTGATTCATGGAACAACGCTTAAGGTGTATAAAGGAGAGAAAATGGAACATGCAACTAAATGGCACCACATCAGGCATAGGCCATCTGATCAATCCCTCTGAAGCAGGGCACAGGAAGTTAGAAAAGCAAGAGCACCAGGGCCAACTCCTGCAGAGCTCCAGCTGAGTATGCTACTGTTCTCTGGTCTCCACCTTGCAGCCTTGTCATGTGTAAAATAAGAGTAATGGTATCCCACTTGTAGGGTTGTTTTTACAATGTAAGGGCTTAATGGGTGTTTGGTACATATAGAAGTGGCCAGTTTAAAATGCACTTAGTTGTGGGACCAGGGATTTAGCTCAGTGGCTCCACACTTGCCTTGCAAGCGTAAGGTCCTGAGTTCGATCCCTGGTACCAAAAATAAATAAATAAATAAATAAATAAATAAATGTTACAAATATACTTAGTTGTTATGAAAAATACTCAAAAACAATCGTAGTTGTGTGAAAATGATACAATCACTGATATCTAGTCCCTGTTTTGTAAATGTTGTTCTGGTGCAGCTTTTAATGGCTAACGGACACGAGGGGTGTTTGTTGTCTCCCTAACCCAGATGGCTGGCATGATGCTCATAGAGTATCTTTTCCTAACCACCATCACGGAGCTGGTCATCGCATGCATGGTCACCCACTGGATGAGAAGAGCCTTGCATCATGAAGCAGTGCCTGAAGAATTTAGTTAGTATTCCATTTCTGGATGTCAAAGGAAGAGAAAACAGTTAAGATTCTTCTGTGAGGGTCTCAAGTTTACCTAGAACTGGGGAGCACACGTTTTACTTCTCAAGTAAGGTCAAATGCACCTGGAGAGCCACTGGGACATCTTCTGCTTGATTTTGTATGAAATTGAAGTCAAACAACTATGCGGGAGAAGTTTGCCCAGTAGACTTACAGCTCCCAGAAGGTTAACAGAAAAGATGTGCACATCAGAGATGTCCCAGGGATCACACCAGGGAAGTGTGGACCCGAGCGCTATAGGCTATGATCCAATTCCGTTTTGAAACGTTGGTTTCTGACATTTCAAATGCCCTCAGAAATCAAAGCTCTTAAACGACACAGAAGATCTGCATACTTCTGAAAAAGAAAAGGCAAGAACCTCCCAAAATCCATTCTGCCATAAAGATAGTAAGAACACTGGCAAAGTTGTCAAAACCAACTTTTTCAAAACTCTAGAAATTAGCCAAAGGCTTGCAAGAATCCAAGGAGCATTTAGTCAGGGGAAATGGCTGGATCTCGGTAAAATCGGTGACCTCTTGTGCGGTTACACGTTGCTGTGTTCCCATTTCCCTGACCCCCTCCCCACAGTGGTCTTTAAATGGAACCAGCCAGAGCCCCTGTGAAAAATACCAGCTGACTTGTGCATTGGGCAGGTTTATGTTATTATAATGAAATCCCTGAAGCTTGGTACTTTATAAAGAAAGAGGTTTGCTTGGCTAATAGGTTTAGAGACTGAAAATCCAAGGTCAAGTGGTCCCATCTGTTTGACCTTGTTAGACCTATGCCCCACTCCATACTCCATCACAACATGGTAGAGAAAGGTACAGTAGGGCCCAGAGGCACAGAGAGGCCTCTCTTTGTAACCACCACTCTTGCAAGAAGTAGTTTGCTGCGGAAGACCAGCATTCATCCCCAGTAACCTAATGCCTGCACTAGGTCCACCTCAGGACTTCCACCACACAGGGCCCAGGCTTCCAGCGCATGAACATTTAGGGGACATCCTCAAACCAAGTCCAAAGCATGGCAGCTTACCTGGCAGCTTCCCAGAAGTGCCCACCAGCAAGGCCTTTCTGACTTGACCACATTCAGAGCTCAGCCACTGTGAACAGCTGCCCCCAGAGGTGATGGAGAGACCTGACCAGCGGCCTCTGACATCACAGCTCCTGGGGCACAGGTACCCATTGGGGGAAACCAAAGACTGACCAAAATCTCTAAAAACTAGGAGCAAGACTCCACGGAAGACTCTGACACTCTGATCCTGTCTAGAAACAGCCACACACATGTGCAGGATGTGTGCTTGCTGAGAAGAGGACTTCAAGTGCCCCCAACCCTGGCCCTGGCTGACCCAAGGGTGTCAGAGGGCCGTCTTCCAGAGTTTTAAAATCTTTCCTCAACCAACACTGTACACACACACACACACACACACACACACACACACACACACACATGGCCTCTCAGCAAAGACTGGGAAACTTACTGGTTCAAGCCAGTTAAGAGCATCTACACCCAATAGTTAGGTGACCGCTGAGCTAACAGAACAGAGATTCTGTCATGCATGACAAATATGATTACATAATTAGTTTAGAAAACCAACTAGAGCAACAAACACAACAACAAAACCTAACCCCCAGAGGGCTATGATTCCCAGTGTCACCACTACATCATTTTAAATGTGCAGTTTCCAACCAAACACATTCTGAGAAGTGCAAAGAAACAAAAAATGGCCTAAACGTGGCAGATGTGGGCACTAAGTCAGTGAAGATTTTTTTCTGAGAAACTGTAGATGTTGGACTTAATATTTTTTAAAAACTTTAAATCAGCCATTAAAAGTACATCCAGAGAACAAAAACAGTTTAGAAAATTTTAAAGGAGAGCATAAGAGCAATATCAAACCAAAAAGAAAATAGAAATAAAGTCATAGAAACTCTAAAAAAATAAATAAACAGAAATCCTAGAGCAGAAAGTGTGATACCTAACTGAAAAGGTTACTACAAGAATTCAACAGAAAATCTGAGCTGCCAGAAAATGGTGAGTCAATCAAAATCCTCAGATCTATGGACCAGAATGAAAACAATGAAGAAAAGTGAATAGTCACTCAGGCATCTCTGAAACACTGCCAATCGGCCTAGGGTTCTTTTGCTCAACTGTGATGGACGTTATGAATCGGCAAAGTGCAGTTCTGCAGCAGTCCTGGTGTCACCAGGCAATGCTGGGTACCAACAGCTGGCACAGAGCAGGCCGGACCGTCCAGGTCCACCTCGTCCGCCCACTGTGGGCTGACTCTGCCTGCCACTGGTCTCCATTGGCTGCTGGTCTCTGGAGCTCTTCACTGCCAACCCCTCTGAGTGTTTGTTCTCCTTCTCTTGAAACAACTGCTCTGCGCATACAGGACAAGAATCCCAAGTAGATTTACAGGACTTTTGAGCCCACACAACTGGAGAAATCATTCACAGCAGGTTTATGGAAACACCAAAGCAAGTCTTTTTTTGAATAGGCCTTGCGCTGCAGCACAAGGGGCAGTGCATGGGAGGAGCCCCTAGACTAACCCTGAGCAGGGCTGGGAAGCGCTGCTTACACAGAAGCTGCAGGCCTGGGTCAGCGAGGGGCGGGCTGGAACCAGGGAATCTTCTGGAGGCTGCGGTGAGTGCTGGGCCTGCAGGTCGGGGCGCAGATCCCCCCTCTCTGATCTTGGTCCCACCGGCACGCCCTTCCCTCTTCGAAAGGGCAAGGTGCTGGCTAAAGCGACAGGAGTCGGGACTGCCGTCTGCCTGCCCTCACGTTGCAGTGGAGAGTGGCAGCTTGGCAGCCCGGAAGAACGCAGCAGCAAACTGTCCCAGGCCACTGAGGGAGAGGTGGGGAGCCCAAAGGGAAGCGAGGGGAAGCAGCTCCACCGCCACCGCCAAGCCACCCTTGCTCGCCAGCAGGGCAGGGACAAATGGGAGAGTCAGGCTGCGACTCAGGAGCACCAGCAAACAGGCCAGGGCGCACGGCCAGGGGTTCCCGGCGGAGGAGGAGGAAGGGGCCAGAGGCACAGTGCGTCCTCGAGGAAATAGAGGGTCTCCTGCCTGTAATACTGTATGAAACAGTAATGCGTGTCTCAGATCGGAAACCTAACTTTCCATCCTAAGGGCTAGGAAAAGGAAAGAAAGCTAAACCCAAAGTGAGAAGAATAAAATAAAAAAAGAAGAATGGAAATAACAAAGAAAGCAAAAGTTCATTCTTTGAAAAGGAAAAAAAGACAAACCTTTAATTAATGGGCCAAATAAAAAAGAAGATTTAATTTACTAAGTCATGAATGCAAGAAGGGATATTGCTAACAACATTACAGAAGTAAAAAGACTAAAGTGGTCTCTTATGAGAAATTATATGCCAACAAATGAAACGGGAATATTCCTAGAAATGCACAAACTAGTGAGACTGATTCAAGAACAAATAATCTGAATAGACCTATCAACAGATTAATAATAAAAATGATCCATAAAGGATAGCCCAGTCCCGAATAGCTACATGGTGAATTCTACCAAACATTTAAAGAATTAACACTAATCCTTCACAAATTCTTCCAAAAATTAGAAGAGAGAAAACTTCTAACTCATTCTATGGTGCTTAACCTCACATGAAGATATCATGATAAAAGCTTTGAACAGATACATGCACCCATCCTCAAAAAATTGAGTACTTCTTAGCAAAAGAAGAATCCCACAACATATTTAAAAATTCTACATTAAGACCAATTGGTGTTTCCCTCCCTCAGCAGCACAGAGCTGGTTCAGTGTCTGGCCAGTAGTGGGTGTAGTAGGCCATGCTGACAGAATAAAGGACCACAGTCATCTCAGTAGATGTAGGAGAAGCATCTAACAAAGTCCCATACAGTTTCTGATTGAATAAATTAACAAGCTACAAACAGAGTGGAATTTCCTCAACCTGCAGAAAGGCATAAATAAAAAATCCATAGTTCACTTAATGCTCGATGGAGAGACACTGAATCCTTTTCCTCTAAGGTCAGCAACAACATAAGGGTGTCCACTTCTGGTCAACATTGTACTGTACGGCCTGGCAGGGCAATCAGGTCACGAGAAGAAAGAAAGAAAAAGATGGAGAAAGAAATAAAACTAACTCCACAAATGACTTTGTCTTATGCATGTAAATTGCTAGGAAATCCACCAAAAAAAGTCGTAACTAGTAAATCCAAAGAGATTATAAGATACAAGATCAAGGGCCAGGGATTTAGCTCAGAGATTCTGCTGCCTCCCTCGCAAGCACAAGGTCCCAAGTACAATCCCC